TAGCACCTAGGGTTTGATTGTGGGTGGACGTCCGAACTCCGATTCGAGGGTGAAGTCTAACCAATCCTTTGTCTATAGGTAGAGAGAGTCATGTTGGTGGCTTGGATCGTATCTCCTTACCTTGACCTAGAGACTAAGAGAGTGGTGCTTGGCTACTTGTTACATTTCCCTACGGTTTACAGCCCCCTCACCACACACGACCATGCGATTCAAAAAGTTGTAATTGCTAGCAAGTGTGAGCAATACCCGAGTAAAGCCTACTCAATTAGTGTCAAATCCATTTACTTTTGCAAACATTTTAGCTTTAAATTGTTGTTTTCACCAAAAATCAACCGCTAGATAATGTTACAAACAATCGAAGTAGGGGTACATGAACCGTCTCAGATCGATATTGAAATATACTTTCCCTGTATTGCACCCAGTTAAGGTTTATACTTGGGCCTTAATTGGGAGTTTTAAAGTGGTGCATTCGGGATGAGTCAGGACTATAAAACCTTTCGTTTTAGGTTGAAGATGTAGGACCTCATGCTATGTTTGCCACTACCCAAAAATCATTTTCCCCATGTCCAAGACAATTGCCAGTCATCTGAACCCGTGTCTAAGACCTCCAGACAAGCTAGTGATGACAACCGTCCCTTGAACTCTAGCATTTAAAGGTTGCCACCGTGGTGGAGAGACGATAGGGCTGAGTGTTGATGATTGTGCATATCTTTTGCACAAAAAAATGTCCTGACTCCACTGGTCGAGAGTCAGTGATTCATTCTTGTTTTGCATGTTCTTATCTTATTCCGGTGAGGACCTATTGTTACACCCTGACATTTAGTTTCAAATTGATGCTAATAGATAAATAGTTGGATTGATAGTTACCTACGAAAACCGGAATCAAACCAAATCTTATTTGAATTCATTGACAAGTCAAATTAATTGTGGATGAGCAATCAATTACGTGGCAACTGACTGTCTTCTCGAAAGTAAAGTGACTACCACGTCCTCAATTGGTGGGCAGGGAACTCATGTAATCCACCACCACATATCTAACCATTATGTTTGTCCATTTTGGCATGGGCGAGATGTATTCGGGCCCCGAAACCGGCCTTCTCTTTTGCAAGAGGGACGTCGGATGAAACCCATTTTAGTGTGAGGGTTCTTTAGGTTAAAATAAATGGATATATATATAGTGAGAGAGAAAAATGAGAAGGAAAACCTAAGCTAAAAGCTTCCAACCGCCGGCCCCGATTATTCTCTTCATCTCCCTCACCGATCCCCGCAACAACTCCCTCACCGATCCCCGCAACAACACCTAAGGAAAATCGCAGCCACATCTATGACAAGAGAAAGCGTTCATTGCGGAGGGAGAAGTACTGGTCGTTGATCAATACAAATGGGGAAGAGAAAGCTAGCTGCTCAAGCTGAGGGCGGCATGTCCTCGTCGTTGTGTTCATTGACTGAACTCACGGGAGAAATGGCGGGTCTAATTTCTGGAGTCACAACGATGATTGAGGAAGTGCGTCATTCCCCGCAACGCGGTTCAGTCGAGGTGAAAGGGATGTTGGACGGACTGTTGATGGAAGACGATATCCAGGTAAAGCTTTTACCGGCTGTTTATCAAATGGTGTTTACACCAAAAAATTAACCTTGTATCACATCGGTTAAAAACAAGGAATTAAATGATTTTATAAGACCAATTTAATCATATTAGTTTAAATAAGTTGAGTGGGCCATGAGAATTGGGTTTTTGGGCCCATTACTCCCTGCCACTACGCGCGGCATGCATTTTCAAATTTGGCTAAGTATAGGAGTCACCCCCATGACACGGAGGGGGTGGCCCCTCACCCCCTGATCATACCATGGGGTGATACCAAGGGGGGTGACCACCATCATACCACCCCCAGCTCCCATGAGGATGATATACTGGTGGGGTGATCCATATGACCCCCATGGAGGATGCCCAAGGGGGGTGGCCCCAGATCTCCTAATCATACCATAGGCTGATCCATACCGCCGCCACCCCCATGACATGGTGAGGCCGAATTTGGCTAAGGCAAGGAGTATGGTAGCCACCCCCAGGAGGTACCAAGGGGGGTGGCCACCATCATACCACCCCCAACTCCCATGAAGATGATATTGTGGTGGGGATGATATAGTGGTGGGGTGATCCATATGACCCCCATGGAGGATGCCCAAGGGAGGTGGCCCCTCACCCCTTGATCATACCATGAGGTGATCCATACCGCCGCCACCCCCATGATATGGTGAGGGGGGTGATGGCCGAATTTGGCTAAGGCAAGAAGTATGGTAGCCACACCCAGGAGGTACCACGGGGGGTGGCCACCATAATACCACCCACAGGACGTGGCAAGGGAGGTGGGCATCATACCACCACCCCAGGAGGTACCAAGGGGGGTGGCCATCATCATACCACCCCCAGGATGTGGCAAGTGGGGTGGACATCATACCGCCATCCCCATGACATGTTGAGGGGGGTGATGGCCGAATTTGACTAAGGCAAGGAGTATGGTAGCCACCCCCAGGAGGTACCAAGCGGGGTGGCCACCATCATACCACCCCCAGGACGTGGCAAGGGGGGTGGACATCATACCACCACCCCCAGGAGGTACCAAGGGGGGTAGCCACCATCATAACACCCCAGGACGTGGCAAGGGGGGTGGACATCATACCGCCACCCCCATGACATGGAAGATGATGAGAGTGGAAGGAGCACCCCCATGAGGTGGTCCGGGGACCACCAACATAGCACCCCATGGTATAATCAGGGGTGAGGGGTCACCAACGCCAGCTCCCATGAGGATGATATAGTGGTGGGGTGATCCATATGACCCCAATGGAGGATGCCCAATGGTATGGTGACGGGGTCACCAATGTACACCCCCATGGTATGGCCTAGGCAAGGGGGTCATGTGAGCAGGTGGTCTCTTTACTCTACTAATGGTGAAGTACTTTTTACCATTTTAACTCATGTTATTCAAATACTCACCCATATGTGGTAAGTGGTATTTCTTTATGCCTTAGCCATTTTTACTCTATGGATAAGCAAAACTACGAAGGAGATGCCAAGAGCAGAGGTTGAGGTCTCAAGAGGAGGAAGTTAAGACTGAAGAGGATCCCACATCCCACATCAGGGTAACCGTCATAGCAGTTGAGTGAGTAACCGTCACTCCACGTCAGCAGAGCAGTTTCTTGAGGCAGTTACATCTGGTGGCTATAAATAGGAGGTGAAGATGACAGAGAAAGGGTTCGCAAAAATCACTACTCGACACCGCTTGTCAAGTTTTATCTTTTCCTCTTCAGATTTTAGCCATAGTCGTAGTTTTTGGAACTCTCACTGAACCTCCATAGGAGTAGGGCTAATTTAATGTAGATTTGCCTCGTAGTTCATCAAAACATTGAACACCCTTGTTTGAACTTTTTTCAAAGAGGTGTGAACTGTGTTGTTTGATCGTTTGTTTGGAAGTCAAAGGTGCAAAATCCAATTCTCTTTCATTTATTTTTCTAGCCGGGAAAACAAATTGGCACACTTGGTAGGACCCGTGTGTTCGATTTGATGGCTCCGAGGCGGAGGAATCAAGAAGGTGACGCTCCGGCTGGTTTTGTGGAGGAGCAAGTGGCCAACATTGAACATGGCCAAGTGTCAGAGGCGGTGGCCGGAAACAATGGTGGGATAGAGATCCTACCAACGGCGACGCCTAGTTGAGATATTAGTGAAGCAGAAGGGTCCTTCGTCAAATGATGGAGGAGAACCGCAAGCTGGTGGCAGAGAACTGTCAAGCCACAGAGGAGAACCGCCAAATGATGGTGGAGAACCGTCGCATGATGGAGGAGGCTAGAGCTGCTTCTCATCAGGTAAATTCTCAAATGGATTGCTTAATTCAAGAGTTGTTAGACGTTTAAGTCAATTATTTGAAGTGGTTAATAAGAATAAAAGTAATTTTGATGAGTTCAGAAGGTTTTTAACCACACCAATAATCCAATCTAGAGCTCTGCCATTAGATGGAGGGAATCCAAACCCCATTAACAATTCTGTAAATTCTAGTTCATCTCACGTCGGCGGCGAAAATGGTCAGCCACGTCAAGATAACCTCTTTCCGCCGATGACAAACCAACCAACTCCTCACCGCATGAATCGCGGCGAGATTCCTGCCACTTCTCAAGTGGAAGGGATACCCAATGTGGGAGTTGGAGAAATTCCCCCACGTGGTGAGAATTTGGGAGTTACACATTCTGCTCCAGTGGAACCGCCACCCATACCCATACCAGTGGCAAGGCCCTATACGATGTTTGCTCACATGGGAGGGGGAGTAGGCTTAGGTGGGGGAGATCAAGTTCCTCCCAGAGCATACCCAACACCCATGCCACCCCATTTCAATGGGCATGGCATGGACCCCATGGGTTTCTTACCCCAAGGGGGGAAACCAGGGGGGGCATGATCCCAACACTCTAAGGGATCAGGTGGCTCAACTTCTTGCCGAGCAATTTGGCATGGGAGTGAGACCCACCATGCCACCTGTTTATCGAAAACCATACCCTGAGTGGGTGGATAGACTCTACCCATTCCCAAGAGGGTTTAGAGTGCCCGAGTTTGTCACATTCACTGGGACAGGAGACCAGTCTACTATGGAGCACATTGGACGTTTTACTGTCCAGTGTGGGGATGTGGGAGATTTTATTAAGTTAAGAGTATTTGGAAACTCATTGACAGGACCTGCTTTTGCCTGGTATGTCAACTTGCCATCCAACTCCATCCAAACATGGCAGCAGATGGAGCAAAATCTTCCATGCTCAGTTTTATAGATCCGAGCTTGAGGTTTCCATGGCTGATTTGGCACGAATGCGTCAAGAGCTAGGGGAGTCAGTAGAGCACTTATTGACATTGTTTTGTCAACTTGACAAAGAGAGAGTTTGTCAAGTTAGCACAAGGGGGGTTGAGTTTTGAGTTAAGGAAGAAATTCCAAGATAGAGAATTCTCTGACTTGTTCCAACTCATGTCTTGTGCGGTGAGATATGAATCTCTTCTTCAAGAAGAGGAGAATAGGAGGAGTGCCTCAAGGGGACAATACTTGCCCAACATCGGTTACCCTGTTAACCATATTGGCCAAGAGGCTAATGAGATGGAGGTAGACCTGGCTGAGTTAACTCCAGGGAAGCCATATGTATGTGCTCCTTTGGCTAAGATGGACAATGAACCACAAGGGGGTAGACCAAATCGTGCCCCTATCCAGCCACGGAGGTATTCATTCGATATCTCCAAAGTTGACTTGATTTTTGACCAACTCTACAAGGATGGTCAAATCAAGTTGACAGGGGGGCATAACATCCCACCACCGGAGAAATTAAAAGGAAAGAAGTATTGTAAGTGGCATAACAGCATGTCACATGCCACTGACTCATGTGTGGTTTTCCGTAATATCTTGCAGGATGCTATTGAGAAGGGGCGTATCAAGTTCCCGGAACCAAAGAAGGATGCCATGTTGGTGGATACTAACTCATTTCCCAACGTGGTAGGCATCAACATGGTTAACCTAGACCTCTCCAAAATTGAGTTGCCCTGTTTCAAGTTGGTGTTGGATACAACGCCGCCTCAACATGGGAGCTCCAATGTCACTCATGAACAAGGGAGCTCGTCAGGTACAAAGCAGGCTAACCCGGCCGCAATGATGACGGATGAAATTGAGAAGTTGTGTGCTTATTTCAAGAAGAGCCTCAAACTTGATGAGGCGAGGCCTTCCGCCCACCAAAGACTTGGCCCACCCAATAGGCCGAGATACACTTCTTACCAGAGACAAGTGGAGGGGGTCGTCCAGCATGCTTGGGGGCAACGAAGGCAGTGGATAGCACATTGCATTCCTTCCATGCGTAGTCCTCCCGTCAGAGGCCCTCTCGTGATCAGAACTTTTAAGATTCCCAATGTGCCACAAGGAGGGTGGCATACTTATGACATGCGTCGTTAACAACCAATACCCATTTGGGGATGACAAGGACTCAAAAGAGGAGATTCCTACGTAAGAATTCCGTAGCACGGTAGGGGAGGTATCCAGTAATACTTGGTGCGAGGATCAAACCATCACAACACAATGATGTTGTTCCACCAAATATAGAGGTGGACAACTCAGTGACTATCGGGCTCAAGGTGACAATGACTGACAAAGGGAAGCAGGTCCAAGACAGGGTGATGTCAAAGTTCGTGAAGGGGTTGAGGATGACTTCCAAGAAGGAGGTGAAATGAAGATGAGTATGCTGAAGATGACATGCTAGAAGATGAGCATCCCAATCCCAAATTTGATAGAGGCAACAAGGATGATGAAGGGGGGATGACCAAGGACCCCCTTTGACAATCCAGTTTGGAAGTTTGCCGCCAGTGGTGGCCACAAACTACATACTACCTATGGTCTTCCAATTCAATGAGGAAGACTGGGATAAATATGTGGAGGAGGTAGTAGAAGAGGCCGAAGATACAGACGGGTCCGTTGCTGAGTTAACCGAGGCATTTTCTCGTTTGGAAGCAAGTGATGAGCAATGGGGTGTTAGGAAGGCTCGATTGGGGAGTAGGATTGATCTAGCTGCTGAGGTGGCAAGACAAGGCAAGAGTTCCCAGCAACTCTTGAAGGAACTCCATGAGGCAGGCCATAAGAGTGTTGGTTTGCTTGGTCAAGATGATTGGAGATACCCTTTTTATGTGTTATACCATAGTCCTGAAGCTTCATCGTCCTCACCCATCCACAACCCTTCTTGCGGTTGGGAGTTTGATGGTGAGGCCGAGGGTTCGGCAGCAAAGGAAGAAAGTTCGCTGAGAGAAGAGGAAGTCTTGCAAGTAGCCACCTTGAAAGGGAAAGAGGTCATGAAGGAGGAAAACACAAGTGATGAGTTAAGTCACTTAGTGGTTTTCAAGGAACCAGAGCCAAGTATGCTAAGGCATTTGAGGCCCCTCTATATCAAGGCTAGGTTGGATGGTATGCCGATGTCAAGAATCCTTGTTGACAATGGAGTTGCTGTCAATGTGATGCCCATTAGGCTGTTAAGAAAATTGGGAAAGACTACAAGCGATTTGATTCCCACTGATATCTTCGTTACTAGCTTCAATGGGGGATCAACATCGGCAAGAGGGATACTACCAGTCTTAATTGGAGTTGGTAGTCAAGAGAAAATGTCTGCCTTCTTTGTGGTGGATGGGGCGATAAGCTACAATGCCTTGTTGGGAAGGGATTGGATCCATGCCAACAAGTGTGTCCCATCCTCACTTCATCAGTGTTTGATGTTTTGGAATAAAGAAGGAATGGTGGAGGTAGTACAAGCAGACACCAACCCCTTTGCAGTTGGTGCTAACGTGGCCGAGGCTCCACTATATTATGGAGACTTCGGGCCTCTACAAGTGAGGAGTATGGATGGAGGGTCCTGCACAGTGGTGATTTCAAGTGCTAAGATATTGAGCATATCATGCCTCGACCCCCTTGCCGACATTATGAGACCATCTATGATTGCTTTGGATGGTCCACCTAAAGCCGAAACGAGTATCAATGATGAGTAGACCACTTCGAGACGAGGTAGTGGGCAAGGCCGAAGTGACGGCCTGTTGGAGAAGTTAGCCATCTATCAATGCGAGCAGAGGTTAGCTTGTGAGGAAGCAGTGTTGATGGTTGACTGTGTGCCTGAAGATGACTTGTCTGAATAAGACGAGGTACCGGGTATGGCTGAAGAATACAAGAGACCTATGACGTCACGTGATGTGTTGGAGGAGATCAATCTTGGCACCGAGGACGGCCCACGTCCTACTTTCATTAGTGCCATGCTCCCTGAAGCCGAGAGGTATGAGTTAATCAATATGTTAAAAGAATTTAAGGATTATTTTTCATGGGATTATCACGAGATGCCTGGTCTAGATAGAAAGTTAGTAGAGCATAGATTACCAATTAGTGATAGTTTCAAACCCTTTAAACAGCCGCCTAGACGGTTTGCTTATGAAGTCTTTCCAGAGATTAAGAAAGAAATTGAGAGATTGTTGAAGGCTGGCTTCATTAGGACAACCAGGTATGTGGAGTGGCTATCCAACGTACTGCCAGTCAGAAAGAAAAATGGCAAGATACGTGTATGTGTAGATTTTAGAAATTTAAACTTAGCCACCCCTAAAGATGAATATCCAATGCCAGTAGCAGACATGTTGCTTGATGCAGTTACTAGGCATAAGATTTTTTCCTTCATGGATTGTTACTCAGGCTATAATCAGATCTACTTAGCCAAAGAAGACATCCACAAGACCGCATTCAGATGTCCAGAAGCCATAGGGTGCTATTAGTGGCTCGTCATGCCCTTCGGGTTGAAGAATGCTGGTGCCACTTACCAACGAGCCATGAATGCTATCTTTCATGACTTGATTGGTGAGTTGGTTGAGGTCTATGTGGATGACATTGTTGTAAAGTCTAAGTTAACAAGTCAACACTTATATCATCTTCGTATGGCCATTTTACGTATGAGAGGCCATAACTTGAAGCTAAATCCACTTAAGCGTGCATTTGGTGTGTCTGCAGGTCACTTCTTAGGGTTCCTTGTGAACCAACGTGGCATTGAGGTTGATAAGAGCAAAACCAAGGCCATCATTGAGGCCATGCGACCAAGTAATAAGAAAGAGCTTCAATGGTTCCTCGACCAAGTTAACTACATTCGACGTTTCATCTTGAACTGTGTTGGCCGAACCCAAGTCTTCTCTCCTTTGTTGAAGTTGAAGCAGGAAGATGAGTTTGTATGGCGTCAAGAGCATCAAAAAGCCTTTGATGACATCAAGAATTACCTGACAACCCCGCCGGTACTCAACTCTCCAATCCCACATTGGCCATTGAAGTTGTACCTTTCAGCCACTAACACCTCTCTAGCGTGTCTATTGGCTCAAGATAATGACTCTGGCCATGAACAGGCCGTGTACTACTTAAGTAGACTATTAAACGAGGCAGAACAAAAGTACTCCCCTATAGAGAAGTTATGTTTAGCCTTATATTTTTCTTGTATGAAGCTAAGGTACTACTTGATGCCTGTTCAAGTGCAACTCATATGTAAGACCGATATAATAAAGTACATGTTGTCCCGGCCAATCATCCATGGGAGGATTAGTAAGTGGACACTTGCACTATCTGAGTTCAACTTGCAATATGTGCCTCAAAAGGCCATAAAGGGCCAAGCATTGGCTGACTTCTTAGCTAACCACCTATGTGTGGATGTGCCAGCTGAGTTGGTAGAAATAGACATGGTGGAGGAAGCCTCTTGGACCTTGTACTTTGATGGATCAAAGACACGGTCTGGAGCGGGTGCGGGCATGATCCTCACTTCCCCATCAGGGCATGCCATGCACTTTTCCTTTACACTTGATCTCCCATGCACTAACAATCAAGCCGAGTATGAGGCTTTAGTGGTGGGGCTGGAGATGCTTGTTGACTTGAAAGTCAAAACTTTTAATATCCAAGGGACTCCCAATTGGTAGTCTACCAAGTAATTGGTGAATTTCGATGCATCAATTGCATACTAGAGACATATCTTGACTATGTCCAAATATTAATTACCCACTTTGATAATGTCTCCATCAAGTATGTTCCTCGTCAGGACAATGGCAAGGGTAACTACTTAGCACAACTAGCCTCGGGTTTCAAAGAGTTTGCTCGTGAAGGGGGAGATAAAATTTTTGTGCGAAGGCTCAACCCATTGCATGAGAGATTGAAGCAAAGTGTGGATGTGTTTACAATTGAAGAGGAGGCTAGTGACTGCCGTACCCCCTTGGTAGCATACTTGAAGAATCCAACAGGGGATGTGGATCGAGCCATCAAATTCAAGGCAAGGAACTATGTCTTGTTGGATGAGGTCTTATTCAAAAGGAGACCAGACGGTTTATTATTGAAGTGCTGGGGGGGGGGGGGGCAAGGAGGCCCTACAAGCCATGGGTGAGGTTCATGAAGGGATATGTGGTGCTCATCAAGCAGGCCCTTCTATGAGATGGGTACTCCACCGATATGGGTACTACTAGCCATCCATCGGGGAAGATTGTGCCACTTTTGCTAAGGGGTGTGAGGCTTATCAACGACATGGCCCGGTGTAAAGAGCTCCGGCCATCGACTTGAAGTCTATCATAAAGCCTCGACCTTTCATGGGATGGGCCATGGACATGATTGGAAAGATTTATCCACCATCTTCTGATAGACATACATTTGTCATCTTGGCAACTGATTACTTCACCAAGTGAGTTGAGGCCAAGCCAATGACAGTGGTCAATCAAGGAGAAATCACCAAGTTCATCAAAAAGAATATAATACATAGGTTTGGCTTGCCAGCCACCATAACAGCTGACCAGGGTACTGTGTTCACCGGAGGAGAGGTGATGGCTTTTGCTAAGGAGTATGGTATCAAGATCATACACTCCACACCATACTATGCCCAGGCCAATGGTCAAGCAGAGGCTTCTAACAAAGTGGTGAAGGGTATTCTGTCTAAAATGATAGAGGATAACCCGAGGAAGTGGCATGAAGTCTTATCTGAAGCTTTATGGGCTTATCGGATGTCTCCACGTAGTAGTACAAAGGTGACCCCTTTTATGCTAACTTATGGCCATGAAGCATTATTGCCGGTGGAGGTGACTGTTAAGTCATTAAGATACATGCGCCAACATGAGCTAGCACCATCTGAGTACTATGAGTCCATGATGTTGGAATTGTGTGATCTTGATGAACTCCAACTCAAAGCTCTCGATAATATCCGGGTACAAAAGGACAAGGTGGCTTGTGCTTACAATAAGAGAGTCAAGCACAAGTCATTTGAGGAAGGTGAGTTGGTATGGAAGCTTCATTTGCCCATTGAAGATAAGGATCCCAAGTTTGGTAAATGGTCTCCTAATTGGCGTGGACCCTTCATTGTTCATTCTACTCGTCCCAATGGAGCTTATTTACTAAAGGATCTCGATGGAGTGTTCCATGAACTTTTAATCAACGGAAAATACTTGAAACCTTACGTCCCTTCTCTTTGGGACGTGGGTTGTTGTAAGTTTTGAGACTGCTAGGCCACTAAGTTGGCCTAACCCCATGCCAAACCTTAAAATGGTGCTAAGATGTGAACCATACCCCATGACAAGACATGGGGGATGGTTATTTTTTTTTAATCCAAGATAAGCCCCTAGTGCAACCGGACTCCCGATAAAAGATCATGTTATGCCACGAGATGGGCAGCTCTAAGAAAGCTCCAAAGAGCAACATGACACGAAACTGACTCAGATAGAGAGAAGAAGGAGAATACTTCCCCATGAATACCCCGTATGGGTGATAAGCCATCTTGATTACGTCTAAATACGAAAGCTAAGGAAACATCCCCTACAAAACAAAACAAACTAGCATATACATGGAAATAAAATATATCCCACTAAATAAAAGATGACTCTATCAGAATTACCAAGTACGACAACAACAAAAAAGTTGTAGCAAAGCAGATAAGATCAAACTATCACTTGATAGACCAATAAAAATAATTTAATTATCTTCAATTACTTCCATACCATATGAGCACGGTGGCTGGAATAATGAAAGAAAGTAATTGCATATATTAGTAAGAAATTAAATTAATTACAAAAAGAGGTGACTTAACGAATTCCCGTTTCCGGAAACGTAGTCAAAACCCATTAGTAATGAAATTTGCAATAGGAAAGGAAAGATTAAGAATTAGTTACGGATTATAAAGGGGAAATATTAGAAATTCACACCCATGACCCCATAAATGATGATTATTAGTATTTAAACCTCTATGAAATAAAGAGACCAAGAATAGGCAGTTAACAATTGAAAAAGGCAATTAATTACGGAAAATGTAATCAGCAGAAAATTAAATCACCATTTTGAGTCTCGGAAAATTTGTACCTGACAGAAATTAGAGGAAACGGAAAATTAAACAAAATTACCCTTACCATCTACCTCTTAATTAATACCTACCGGAAAGATCCTCTTCACCGGAATCTTCATCGGCGAAGTGAAAAGGTACGACGAAACCATGATTTTCGGCATGAAAGCTTCAATCGGATTCCATGTTTGATGCTCCCTGAAATCACGAAATTGGGCAAGAAAGGAACTGCATTGCAGCTTCCTTGTCGTCCCAAGGAGTCTCAATGAAGGAGCACTAAATAGACGACATGCGCCTGATAAACAGAGCCTAGAAAGGCTTTCTGATGTTGTACAAGCCTCATAACCAGAGATCTTTTGGATGTGACGATAGAAAATTAACCAGCCACTACAAAAGCAATAATTAAATTGACAGAAAACAGGAACTTTTTGAAGATATTAGAAATCGCGAATCCAGAGTTGGGCATCGATTTGGATTCATCAAAGAAAGGGGGGGGGGGGGGGGGGAACTCTTACGTAACTCGACCCCGAGACCTCATGTCGGGGTTTGATTTGAGTGCCGGGGAGATGTTTGGGCAGATCTCTGAGTCTCTGCGCAAAAGAGGAGGGGGAACCGGCGGCCGCCTCCGTCGACATCTTCTCCACGCTCCGGCGTAGCTGCGGCTGGTAGTGGTGAGCCGATCGTCTCCCTAGGAAGCTCCTCAAAGCAGCCTCCATTGCTTGGAGGCCTTAACCCATAAGAAATGGGAGTGTGCTCCATTGCAAGTGTTGCACCTATAAGGCATCAAGAACGACTTTGTCCGGAATCATGGACAACAGAGGAGCCAGAGACCCTGTTTTGTTCCCATCCTTGAGGAAATACTTCGCCACGGACGCCAGGCTGTAGGATCTCTGGAACCCATCACCGCTGCCGCCGTGATCGACGTTTCTAGTCGAAGAAGTGAGGATAGAGTGGGAAGCTAGCAGGTGGAGAATTGGATCAAGCCTCTGGCCAACATCATCAGCAGAAGTAGAGTTGTTGCTCCTAGTAGAAGCGGCAAGTTGGGTAGCGATTTGGGCAGGGGAGAGGGAAGCAGCGGGGCCATGGTGTTGTTTTGGCCCCAATAGTTTCAACATATATCATGCCACGTGATTTAAGATTTACCATGAGGGTTGGTGGTCATATTGGCATAGGGGGCATGATCTTTGTGTGAGAAGGAAAAAGACATGAGAGGGCATGTATGCATAGGGGAACGAACGAAAAAATCCAAATCATACTTATTCGATCGAAAGAAAGGAAATCAAACAAAGGCCAACAAAGTGGCTAAGCCGACTGTTCATAATGGAAAGGAAAAGAAAAGCAAACATGGGGCATAAATGATAATCGAGTTTCAAGGATGGAGGATATTTCCTTCATGAGAGTAAGAGTCTTCTCCTGGTCAGAAAGAGCACGAATTTCAACCATCAACACGTTGAAGTTTTGAATTAGAGACTCTGACTAGGTTTGCTCTTGTGCCTCCTCTGCTCGAAGCCTACTGAGTTCGGCCTCCAACTCAGCTATCTTAGAAGGGCGAGCATTTTTCCTGGCTTCAAGGGTGGTAACCTGACTTGACATGGCCTTGCCTTGTGATACTTTCCCTTGCAAGGAGGTGGAAGTGGTGGCTCTAGCATTTTCTTTGTGGAGCATGGTATCCTTCAACTTTGTAGCCTGCTCGATAGCCCCAAGACATGATTTGATGGTCTCTGAAGCAGTGTGCATAGATAGCATGTGGTCCATGCTCAAACCTGGTAGTGGGATGTGAAGCTCGAGCTTGGACAAAAGTGCAAGGTCTTGTTCAGGCCAGACAGAGTCAAAAGCCCCTATGACTTCGTCCAAAGTATAAGATAGGAAGTTGTCAACGGAATCCAGGGCTTCATGAATGGATGAAGAAGGCGGGTTGGCAAAAGGGTTGGTGGCAGCCACCTGATATTGGCTCTCCAAGTCTCGTAGGAATTGGAGGTCATCATTAAGAGTGGTGGCACCCTGCAAGTTGTGTACATGTGAGATATTGGTGTCTTCATCATAAAAAAGTAGAGAGGAGGCTTTGGTTTGGACATGGTGCTTACCATGCCCAGGGGGGTCTCTACTCGCTCAAGTGTTGAAGGATTACCCATGAGGCCAGTAGGATGTGGGTATTGCTCCTCCTCGGCTGCCTCCATTAAAGGGGTCATTTGGTGGGTGGTGGTATCCACTATCACTCCTTCACCTCCATGAAAGGAGTCGTTGTGAGGACCTGAGAGAAATGTGTTACTCAAACTGTATGTATAAATGGAATTTAAAGGTTGGCATTTGATGAAGAAATTATTTGGATACCTGAGAACAAGTTGCTTGTTGGAACTTGAAAAGAAGTACCACTTGTGTGTAAGGAGTGTCAAAATATGGTAGGCCCGGAGGGGAACTGATTAAATACCAAGAGACCAGAGGGGGTGGTGGTAGGTGGAGTTGCCCCTGTAGTCATCCCTGGACCGCCGCGTGTGAGTTAGGGGGGGGGGGGGTGGTAGAACCAACCCCCAAGGTGGGAGGACGAGGGGGGTGTGGCACCAATTTGGCCGAGGCCTGAGAATCACGAGCCTGGAGCGAAGAAGAATGGAGACCCCATTTTTTTCCCCCGTGTGTTCTATGATCTCGACCTCCTCTTCTTCAGAACCTTTGTCGGCGGGTTTGTCGTCACCACTCTCTGACTCTGTACCAGTAGGGCTACGAGCACCCTTGAGAACAGAGTGCTCCTCCTTCTCTTCCTCCTCCTCCTTCTCCTCTGGGTCAGAGGGGGGCTCTTCTTCATCCTCATCTGACATCATGGTCTCTGACTACACAATGAGACAGGTGGTTAGGGGGTGTCATCACAAATAAGGAATACTAGCTAAGGAGAATGGGAAGACTTACATGTGCACTAGTTTGGGGTTTATGTGGGGGACAAGATTGCTTAGCTGGTCGAATATGACCATGAGATTTTTTGGAAGCTATATGACAAAGAAAATATATTCATGTTTAGAGAAAAGAAAGAAAAACAAAAGGCAGGCCATATAAATATACAATGGGAAGAAGGCTTATGATGACTCGATATTTGCACATGTTTTCCCCCTTTATTTCTTGATCGTTTAAGCTTGAATTACCGCTTCTTTGGCCTATTTTACGCTAGGTTGTGTTACTTTGTTACATTTCAGGTCCTAGCACATAAAGTGAAGCATAGGCGCAAGTTTCAAGTCAATTAGAGATCAATTGGCGATTAGGGAGAAGAAACTCGGGCATGACCTGAAGAAGAATGGATTTATACCTCACTTTATGGACAAATAATCATGCAAGCTTGTCATGAAAAGAAAGAGGACGAGACTGCAAGGGTCTGGGATCAAACGGCGACAGATTCGGAGTCCGGACGAGGGAGAAACGAAGCATTGAATATAGGGAAACATGTTCGGCAGTAAAAAAACGGGCGCGCCTAAAGAAAAACACGGTCGTGTCCATATTTAGGCACGACCGTGTTTTGGCCGATGAGGGCTTCTGGGGGCAAAATACGGGCGGCCAAAAGCAAAACACGGTCGTGTCCTCGACCGTGTTTTGCCCAGAATCGGGGTTTTTAGGCAGATTGAAGCCAAAGAAAAGGGGGAGCTGGGTTTTGGATCCCAAACACCCAAGGGACGAACCAAAGAGAGATAGGGCGATTTGAGTGCATTCTAAGAGTGGAATTGGAGGATTTCTTCGCCTTGAAATCTCGAGGAACAAGCCCGGACTTGAAGACTAATCATCTGAAGATTCTTACTGCAGTATCTCTCTTCTCTATGGAGTAAGTTCCCTTCACTTAGGTTTTGAGGAACCCTAGCTATGTTTGTTTGATTGGATGATTGTATGAGTACTCTGACTTGATAATCTTGAGTTCATATTCAATCTATGCATGTTTTCATGATTCAATTCTGCTTTAGTCGAGATTATTGATTCTGCTTTGATCCTATGAGAGCGAATACCTGATTAGGTCAATAGAGCACCATAGATTGATAGTAGTGGATCGATTGCTTTAGTCGAGGGTTGATTCACTGCTTTGTATCGATTGAGAACCTCATTCGATAGAGGGAATCTAGTTCAGAAAGCCTTGATCGGTTGTTCTAGAGAAGGATACGTACCTCTAGGCAATTGACTCAAGAGGGCCTTGTTCCTTTAGTCGAGACTCAAGGTCTAGTCAAGGATTCTCCGCATTGTGAATGAAAGTGAAACAAGTTAGAAATCATCAATCGTTAATCTGGCTAGTGGCTAGGGGGAATCATACCTAAGTGAGTTCCCAATCTGTAATTAGATTAACTTTAACTATAGTTTGCTAGAGTAGTTTTCGTTGTTTCATCTTAATCTGGTTTGCTAGGTAATGAACTGAAGATGAGTAATAGTAACTCTAGAGACCCGTGGATTCGATATTTATTACTTGAGCCACTATACTGCAGTCCCTTCCATTGGTTACACTTGGCCATTGTTAGGAGTTGTGTCATAGCGAGTCAAGTTTTGGCGCCATTGCCGAGGACTTTTTAGATTATTAGGAAAGGTAGAAGTTTGTTACTTTAGCGTTTTTCTTTTCCACCCTTGCTTTTCACTTGGGTGTATTTTGTTTTTGTTGGTGCAGATCTGAATCATGGATCCTCATGGCTTCTCCAACCATTGGGGGTATCCACCACCATCCGAGTGGTATTACCCCGAGACTCCCTGGAGCAATCAAGGAGGAGAAGACTATGGATTCGGGTTCCAGTACCAACCCCCTTACTACGGAGAACAATCAGACCCCTGGGTATATCAAGAACAACCTCATTATCAAGAAGAATTTCTCCCACAACCAGAAGGGCCATTGGCGCTGGAGTTACCCATGACGGCCTTCACTGGCCATTTTGCAGAGCCATGCTACACTCCACAGCCAGATCCAAACTATCAATTGAGGCTTTCTCGTGGAGAAGTTTGCTCGGTACTCCGAGAGACATAATCTCAAGATGGACCTCCTTTTCTCATCTTTTGCTCCTCCTAACTCTTCATCCCTCCGTGAATCGGAGGAGACTGTTTCGCACTCATCAAAGCAACCAGAGCGGGTTGAGAAAGTTTGTGCACAACTTGCTCAATATCACCCGTCTGCTACCATACTAGAGGAGGAGGAGGAAGAAGAAGGCTACAAGGACATTGTGGAGCAAACTGAAGTTGTCACGGAGAGCTCCCGTGATGATCATGATCTGGAATGTCCTGTCGTAGCCGACCACACCTTCCCACATCCCAAACTGAGCTTTGAAGAGGCGGGCATGAGTGAGGAGATGCAAGAAGATCTCTTGAAAGAAATTGCTTGGCAACTTGCTCTCAAATCCATGCTAGAAGAAGAAGAGCAAGAAAGGGTGCAGAAAGAAGTTGTGGAGGATGACGAAAGTGAAGCAGAAGGAGTTCTTGATAATTTCCCAGGGGTGATACCACTTGAAGAAGAAAGGGGGGGGGGGGGGGTTGAAGAAGCAATTGGCGTCCAGGTCGAGGACAGAGTTGAGGTGGAAGAGGCTTGCACCGGCCATGAGTTACATGTGATATCTCCACAAAACTTCGAGGAACTGCTTAGCAAGAACCCATTTGCAGTGTCTCTTTGCCAGACCAAGTCCACATCAACATCGGTCCCTCTTGGTGGACGCGATGGTGGCCAATCGATGCTGTCATATCTGGTTTGGGGCAATGAGACGAGAGAAGAGAAGAAGAGGTCTCGAGGGTGGAGACTTCATCTGCATCAAGTGCATGAGCCTTCATCACCTACCACACCACATGCTCGTGACTTGAGACTCCACCTCATCGACGAGACCTCAACTTCAAGGAGGTTTTGGGGTGGACCGAAACTTAGGAACCATCGTCCGGCTCACGACATGAAAGAAGCGCTTGTTGGGAGGCAACCCAACCAGTCGGTTTGCATTTCTTTCTCTTTTTCTCCTCGGTTGAGTCAGTTTTTTTATTTGATTTTAGAGTCAATAACTCAACCTTTGTGAGATTTTGTGTGGTGTTTGTGTTCCGACTACTCTCTCCTCCTGGAATGCACCGCCTGCCCTGTCCACCATCATTCACCCTTGATCTGGTAACTTGGTCCTACCCTCCTTATCTTTCCTCCATTGAGGACAATGTCGTGCTTAAGTGTGGGGGGGATGTTC